GAGCTGTGTGACATTTGATGGAAATGTAATGGTGGTATAGGTCTTTATCATCTAACTGGATTAGTGCATGTCTCTGAAGTCTCGTGGGATTATGTTCAAGATGTAAGAGACGTACTACGCGATGGTGATGAGGTTCGGGTTATAGTCACGAATATTGACAAGTGAGTTTCTTCTTTTGGTTACTAAATTTTACTATTAGTAATGCATACATATATTTTGGTTACTTGACAAGTGAGTTTCTTCTTTTGGTTACTTAATTTTATTAGTAATGCATACATATATCTCTTTAGTTAAAAGTGGTTTCGATGTAGAGAGAAATCGAGGATTACGCTATCAATTAAACAATTGGAAGATGATCCTCTGCTAGAAACATTGGACAAAGTTATTTTGAAGGTAAACAGTGTGAATGTGTTTTCTGTCTCTTGTGATATGTAGTGATTTATAATAGATAGATAATTGAATATTATTATTACAGGACAGCTCTACTGGATCTCCTTCGCTTAGCTCGAACAATGGGGATGCAATTGAACCTCTTCCAGGGCTGGAAACAATACTTAAAGAACTATTGCAGGAAGTCGGGTATAGACAAATTTTCCTAATCGTCTATCCGCATAGCATCCGCTAATTACAAGAGAATCGTATCTAGGATCACCTCTAGTCTACTAGGCTGTTCTGTTCTTGACAGAGCATTTTCCCTAACAAAATAATTGCCGTGGATGACCAGTTTGGTTCGCTCCTCGATTTGCAATTGACTGATACTTTTAGTAAACACATGATGGAATGGAGATTGTTAAATGCATTAGTTTAGATTCAGGCATAAGCATCTAAGAGAAGGAAGAACATTCTGATTTCATTGTTTAACTACCTCTTGATAAGTCCTCCTATTCATTTCCTCTTGCAATTATATCTACATTGCAGAATAGAAGCCGTGAAAATTAACCGGCAAGGATTTGAGAAAAGAGTGGTTTCACAAGACCTACAACTTTGGCTCTCAAATGTGAGTTCTGTTTTCTTGATATTACCATGCCGATAAACTACTGGCTTCTTACTTTGTGGAATATACCTATCTCTACTTTTACGCAGACACCGCCTTCTGAAGGGAAGTTTGTTCTTCTTGCCCGAGCTGGAAGACAGGTAAAATTTCAGAAGCTATCCATCCCCTGAAACTTCTTTCATGAATTTGTGGCCATAGATAGATAGATGTTGTGATAGTAAAATTTTGGTAATTCAGGTGCAAGAGATACACTTGACAACGTCTCTGTATCAACAAGGAATCAAGAAAGCGCTTCAGCGAGTACTAGAACGCGTCCCATGAGAACCCACCCTACTAAGACACTTACTTCTTTGGCCCTTAAATCATCAGAGCCCTATGCATCTCAACTTTTGCCCAACAACATTTGGTCACTGTACTTTAATTCTTCATTACCACAGGCAATGTACTTCAAAAGTTTAGCAGCTACTTGAGAAAAGCTAAAAAGCCAATGTATGTGACAAACACAAACCTATCAAAATACTACTATATGTTTATACTCAAATCTTCTGGTTCAACTCAGAATACAAACATGATTAGTAGTAAGTCATGATAATCAAGATCTAACCTTCAAGTCAATAATTGACTTTTTTTGACACCAAACAAACAGCTTCCATGTTTTGGTGAGTATCTTTCTTTATTCTTAACCAAGAATAAATAATTAAACATGATAATTAAAAATCCTATTTACTTTTGTTTGTTTCTCTTGCACAACTTTCCTGTCTCTGCCATGCACATGCTCTCTACTCTTAAATCTAACT